GATATTTCTCAATCAAAAATCCCTATCAAAATCCCAAATGTCCTACTACCAGAAAGAGGTTCCTCTCTGCTACTATCTTTCCGTCAGAACGCGTGCTGTCACGTTCTATCCTTAATTTACATTTGATGAGCGATAAAGATAGAATATAGACGCAATAGTGCGCTATTCGATCGCAGTTTTATAAAGAAGCTTTAGAAAATTATCGTTGAAGAAATGAAAAAGGTAAAAGAATATATCAAGGATAACCAACTCACCGCCGGCTATGAGATTTTTTATGACGATCTCGAAATTCTCGTTTTTCTCTTTCGATCGAGTCATGGTTGCTGAATAAATGTCGGTAGATGCGACTCGTAGGTACTTGAGTCGTGTGAGAAAAATGTAAGGGAGACTGTTCACACGGCAAGAAACGTCCCGTTTACACCATGTAATTTCAGTCAGAAGTGGGAGTCGGAGGGATAGTTACTGACCTTGACCATTCACATGTAAAGAACATAGAGTTTAAATCGTGTCCTGCGGCGCCCCGAGTGATAAACGTGCACGTTGCTTTGAACTCCCCTCCTTCATTTTTACAGGTGGTTGATTATGATCAGAGACGCCAACGTAATGTTGCAATAAAACTGTCATTATTCACGTGACTTTTAAGCCTAGTCTACAATGACATAACATAAGGCTATAAGGCTATAAGGCTGTAAAGCGTGGTTGTAAGAACTATTTAAATGAATTATTTTTATTTCTTATGCTTAACAATCTTACGTCACAGTATAGAGCACAATTATACTGTGACTAGCCTTATGTTATGTCATTGTAGACTAAACTTTAATGATATACCTAATTATTTTCATGGCGAGTATATTTTTTATTTACATGTAATAAAAATGTGAAATTTTTATTTATCAATTGATTATGAGTATTAGTTTTTTTAATTTTAAGAATATCTAAAGAATTACGCTTGTAATGTTTTTAATATATAATCTGCTTTGGATTCCAGGTACTAGAGTCATGATTAAAATATATATATATATATATTTATCAGAAAAGCAAGACGGTGATTGGCCACTGTGTTATTGCACTTTTTTTGCGTATGTGTGCAGGGGCCATAAGATTTTACTCGACAAAAAATAATATTATATTATTAATTTCATTTAGTTTGTATAAACACACATATACACATGCGTGCGCGCGTATGTATCCATAATAAATAAATAAATATTTAATATTTTTTATCGAGCGAATCTTATGACATCTACACACGCAAAGCAATAACACGGTGGCCAATCACTGTCTTGCTTTTCTAGTGATATTAAATATGTAACTTCCGCCGCATGTCGCCGCGCGAAAGTTAAATACAATTCAATTTTTGCTACGTGACATTTTGTGTTTTCTATGCTAAATTTCATTCATTTTAACTAAAAACAATAAATAATATTAAACAATACATATTATTATCAAATAATAATTAAAAAAAGAATAACAGCGTCCCTTAAGTTGTTACTTACCTATTATGCAATAAAGTCTAATATTTTTATTTGTGGTGTGTATTTTGTTAATAATTTTGTTAATAATTTTGTTAATAATTAACACATAACACGCAGAAGTTACAATGAGACACATGCAGAATCTGTTAAGTTTCAAGCCACTTCAAATTTACGCATGTGCATAATGCTGTTTTAATCCGTACTGTGTAAACATCAAAAAAATAATTTTTTATTGCTACGTTTCCACTTTGTCGCTTTGCGTTCTTTGTGCAGGAGCTGCTATACTTTTTTGAAAAATTTGCACTATAGCCAATGAGTGTTTTTCATTTAGTGACACAAGTCGACACAAGTATTATTTTGTCCTTGTTAATCGTTGAATGCCAAGAAAGATAGAACGATATTTGTGTCAACTTATGTTACTAAATGGAAAACATCTATTATCTAGTATATTATTTGAAATAGAAAAGCATTAGAAACCCTAGATAAAAATGTTTTTCTCCCTATGCAATGGACTTTCCTATTGGATATCGGAAATGTGAACCCCCATGTTTCTAAACAACACGTGTCTATATGTATTTTTGGAAAATTCCTGCCGAAATCAAAACACATGGAATAAATTTGCAAGTCATAACACAGATTTATATCGACTTTTATTTTTACAATATCAAGTAACACATACAATGCTCGCATTTCTTAAACGCAAGATTAAAGAAAAGCAGAAGTCCTATCAATCTGGTAAAATTATTTGTGCTAAATTTATCCAATTTATTTAAAATCGATCGTAAAGTGTCCATGTAATGACTTTTTGATTTTTACACAGAAGCTACAGAAGCTACAGAAGCAGAATCGACTAAAGGTATGACTATTAGCAAGAAATATCTAGAAGTTTTACGATCGTCATTTGAAATAAGTAATTTTCGTGGAGTCGACAACCTTTCCAAGAAGAAAAAAAAAGTGATTAAAGCATTAGAGAATAAAATGCAAAAATTACACAATGATACAGATTCAAAGAATACTAAGTTTGATGACATTATAGCTCTTGCTGTAGCTTATTATAATGTAGGTCAATTATATACTGAGTTTACAGAGAATAACAAGTTACATACTGCTATAAATACTTTTTTAACATGTTTGAGATTATTGGGAGGAAAAGAACTGGACCGTAAAGCTATATTGACATCTGTAGGTGCTTTGAATGAATTAAGTTTAGTTACACATAAATTACAGAATGTGGAAAATGCTTTTTTACACTTGAATGCAGCACTGGAATTATATATAAAATATACAAAGGATAATTATCTTGAGCCTATCAATATAGCAACTATTGTTGGTATTGAACAAAAAGTATCAGATTCCAGGATTATCTTGGATAATCTTCATATAACAACCTTACATGATATAGGAACTCATTATTATATTCATCCTAAAGATAAGCATGAATTTGTAACATATTTACATAACATATTAAAGAAGGAATTATCAACAGTACTAATTAAAGGAAAACAGATTACACAATTTGAATGTCTTGATTGGGCTTTAACTTTAGTTGATATATCTCGATATTTTGTAATAAACAATCGTTTCATTGAAGGTAGAAATCATCTTGCTACTGCAGATTATATCATGTTTAGATTTTCTGAGGATGTATTAAAGTATATAAATAAAGAGAATTGTTCAGAATATCACAATGTGCGTATTAGCTATAATTATGTACGTGCTTATATTACTAAATTTTGGGGTAGTTATGGAACTTCACTTTTACGTTACTGGATAGAAAGATTTCAGAAGGAAGATAAATCTTGTAAAGTAGATGAATCAAAATCAAAACAAGAATCTGAGGAAGAATTAACACATTTGATATATTGTGAGAAAGAGTTACAACTTTTTAATCGAATTACAGAATTATGTATATTAAATTTCACTGATGCCAAATCGGTTTTTATAAAAAGTTTGAGATGTCTTGATGGAGCAAAGAGATACTTTTGTCCAGAAAGTGATATTCAAAGCTATGTATTAATATCACTTGATATTTCTAGAGCATATAAATATTTAGCTAGTTTTGAACAAGAAAGAAAGAAACAGATAAAGCTACATAAACGGCGAATAGAGAATTTAGAGGATATTTCTGAGAAATTACATTTAGCAACTGATGAGAATGGAAATTTAAACATGCAGAGACAAGTTTGGTTTGAATTGACGACTTCCTGTTCCACAGTAATGGATTTATTAGCGGAGGATACGTATGGCATTGTACCAAGTGAAGACATAAAAAAAGAATTTGAACGATATGCACAAATCAGCAGAACAAGTATTGACCTATACGTAAATACAAGATAAATCTCTATGACGAAAAGAAAATTTAGACAATTTTTTTAGAACTTTTTACTTGTAAAGATATCAAAAATATATTTTTGTCTTTTTATTGCATAAAAATATTCTTATAATAAATGATAAATATAAATAATGAAAAAGTTGACTACTCACTTATTTGCACACAATTTATCTAGTAATAAACAATATTTGAATGAATCGTTCTTATTATATCCATAACTAGAAATATATATATATATATAAAATTTCTTATTGAATTTTACACTTATTGTAGCACATGTAGTTTTATAAAAATTCAAACAATAATAATTTATGTGATATAAGATTACATATATTTATAGAAGATCATTGTACAAATCACGTGTGTAATATTACATAAATGTAAAATATAATCTTGTATAAACATACATAGCAAATAGTGAGATTTACAGATTCAGAACTATTTTTGAAAGAAATAAATATTTGAGCTAAATATTTTTATACAATTTTTTTTTCATTTATACGTATAATCATTAACACTTTCTCCCTTTAAACTGTTATAATTTAGTCTGCACTATTTATATTTTAAAGATTGCTATATGTGAAAATAGTTAATATAAAAGAATCATATATAAATACTTTGATTAATAAAATATTTAAATATAATGTGTATGAGATGAGTTTTAATTTGTTGATTGATTAATTGCATAATGCGCAAATACTATTTTTATAGAGCAAAGTTGCATTTGCGCAATAATAATGCAATTTATTAATCGATGAATTAAAAAACTCGCCTTATTTTATTAAAAAAATGTATTAACATTCGAAATTTTATCAATTAATGTATATTGTTTACCTTATTTTACGATTAAATAATTTTGTAGTTTTTGATAACATGCAATTGTGCAGATAATTGAATTTATTATATTTTCTTACTGTTTTCATCAATTGTAAATATAATTCGAATAAATTTCAGGCCAATGATGTAATTTGAAAAAAAACGAAATAGAAAATTTAATAAATTTGATTTCTCTGAAACAATCAAATGTTTACCTGTGTCTATCTTTTTTTTTTTGGAGCAAGATACTACAACTTCTTAACACTTCATTATATAGATCGTCCGAATTTTATGCTTCAAGTATCATGTATATGTGTTATCGATGACATATAGTCTGGTAAGTTACTAAACATATCACATGTTGATTGGTTAGATAGAGAAATCTAGAAATGTTTAGAAATTTAGAAACTTTGCTATTTTATAGCCAATCTATATATTTCAAAAATTTGAATTTAACAATAAATATATTCTTTATACTCGCGCGCGCACACAAGCGATGTGTGTGTGTGTGTGTGTGTGTGTGTGTGTGTGTGTGCGTGCGCGCGCGCATATATTTAGCATAAAATAGTATAAAATTTTACTTTTATTCATATTATTCATATTATTACTATATTCATATTATTTTTAATAATTATTATGAAATATATTATAATTAACAATAATAATGATGATTAAACTAACAAGATGATCAATTTTAAGAATTTGATAATTCTTATATTTAATCGGTCAATAAAATTAATCGAAAATAAAGAAAGCGATCGTAAAAATTTAAACTGAAAATTAAAGTTCTTAAAGACAATTGAGACACGTATATAAAATACTTTTATATAAATATAATGAATATAAACCAATACAAAATTCTCTAAATGTTTTAGAATTCTCTAAATGTTTTAGAAAATTGTTATAAACAATCAACATAAAGGAGAATTAATGTAATTTAATGTAATTTGTATATTTTTATAATCTGATTTCTACGATCTCAATTGTGCAATGACATAATTGTTGTCATTTTATTTATGATTATCGATATCATAATGGCAGTCAAAATGTAGCATTTTTATTACAATGTTATTTATATTTACAAAAATGTATTATAAATCATACAATATAGCCGCTTCTACATTTGTTACATCAAAAATAATTAAATTCTTACAGTGAAATGTGCGAAATAATAAAGTCATGATACAATTTATACGTATATTAGAGGTATATTGACTATTTTTCCCATCCGAGCTTACACAAAATATACTTTATACAAAATACAAAAGTCGTCGCACAAAAGACGCTTTTCGTCGCTTTAAATACACACCACAAGTTTCGCACATGTATACAAAATTGACTTCGCATAAGGAATACTTTTCGCTTATATCGTACATAAATTTCACGAATTGCATCTCATGACAATGCGTACCGCAATAACTATTCGTCATTAGCGAAGGGAGAAGGGGTGTATTATATATTACAATTTTATATACACATATTAAAGAGGTATGAATATCAAAATAGGAATATATACTCCATTAAATTAAGTACCATTATTGTCATAGGCAATGAAAATATTCTCGTATAATCGGATATAAATAATTATTTTTACAAAAGAGTCATATATTTGTGCGTGAAACTGTAATAAAATATTACGTTTGCACACATATACACACACACACACACACACACACACACACACCGCAGAAACGCCGAGAATACTAATTAAAATAAATAATAAATAGGTCTCAGAGATTCAGCATATCGCTCTCATACATACATACATACATACATACATATTGCGCGTATGATTAATGTAAGAAAAACAAAAATAAATAGTAATATCTGGAAATTTCGTCGTCTTCGTAAAATTTTACGATTACATTTGACAAACGTCGCGCCGTAATGGAAGTAAGATCTTTAACTTTCTAATTAAATAACAAATATGCCTATATACATCTTGATAAATGCATTCTTCCGTTAAGTATGCATTACGTAAATACACATTATAAATACGCTCGCCGATACAGCATTAGTGTGTTTTCCTTTAAAGGCACACTAGCATATGTCATCTTTCTCTCTCTCCAAGAGAATACAAATCACACAATATGTGTGTGATCACTGATAGATAATACGTGACACATACTACCCTTGTGACCGCAAGTCACTAATTAAATAAATTTACCTAAAGTATATTTTAGATAATATTCTTCTAAAATAGTCTAATCTGTACTGATTTAGATTGTACGCATTATTATCCTTGGTAATACTATTACACGTTCAATATGCTGAGATATTTGAGTAAAACACCGTTTTTTATATTACTTCGATTAAAATCTTTTTTTCGATTGAAAATTAGCAATTTAATAGAGCAATTTATCTGAAATCATGCGTAATAATTTACATATTAAAATATATGCATAAAATATAATATGTCTGCCCTAATAAATCCCAATATATTAAGTAAATACAATATTGATTTTTACATAGAGCCAATCTAAATCTTGAAAAAAGTTCAAAAACAAAATATTAAACATGCAATAAAATTGTATATGATATATACAAATATTTTCGAAAATATTTGTATATATTATGAAGATGTGATTTACATTATAATACTTTTGTCTTTAAGGTTTGAGTAAGACAACCCATGTTATATTACTCATTTGAGAAAGAGAAAAAAAATGGAACTGTAAGATAAGAAGTCAAGTAAGGATGAAAAATTAAGAGAGAAAGAAAAATTAAGAAAAGAAGAAAAATTAAGAAGAAAACAAAAAGAAATA